ATATATATATATATATATATACATCAATACATTTATGTGTCTCGTAAAAGTCATGTTCATACTTTATGCATATTTTTTTCGCGTTTTAACAAGAATTATTACGGAATGTATACTTAAAAACGAATGTATTCAGAAGCGAACAGATCTTCTTTTTTACATTCGAATCTTTATAATTCGACGTCCTCATGTTTGATTTGTGTAATGTATCATGCATCGGCAATCGACTTACGTAATTGAAACATTTTTACGTAACCGCGTGGCGCAATGAATTTCTGCCAGCTAAACAGAAGAGGTCATTGCGTTACAGGTCGTCCAAGAAACCTCGTTTATTGTTCGGCCTAAAGAAACCTAAACGCGAAAAAAAAAAGGAAAAGGAGATGCATCTTTCGTCGCCATCCATTATCCGACCACGATCTTATCGCAACATATCAATCTGACGAACTCATATTTTTTTTTATTTATTTTTTATTTATTTTCTCTCTTATATTACTTACGATAGAAAGCAGATGTTGCACGGACATGTGATTCCACATGCATTCGCAGGGGTCGAATCCTTCGTCGCTCATCGTGATAGATGGGTGACCTTCTGCAAAATCTGCCGCTGCACATGACAATTAAAAAATTATCTCGATTATTGGAATTATTAGATACGTCAATGTTTCTTTTTCACCGCAAGCGCAACCTACATTTTTCCGTCGTGCGTTCCGGCTTTTTGCCATCGATAATCTGCGAAACGTATAACTTATTTCTTATTTATGGTCGGTTACTTTTATAAACGGAGCAATATACTGACATCATAAAAAAAAAAGAAGAGAGACTCACCAACAAACAATACTCTTTAGCAATTCTTTATAAATTTGATACGCGTGATTACATGAATAATTTAGCGCAGAATTTCAGAGAATTACATATAAGTATACATTTATAGCGCAAATAAATAAATTATCTTAATTAATTTTTCTATATATTTAATAGTGAATGTTAGAATATTAATTGATTAAAAACGAGTTTAGATTCGAAGTAACAAGACGTATTTTTATATTTGTTCCAAAAAGCTGAACTATTATCAATTGTCGTATTTTCAAAGATGTCTTGTATAAAGCGGTGCAATTACTCGCATGTGAACGAGGTGGATATAATATCTGCCTTCTTATCTGGCTTGATACGATATACGCGACTATACATTAGAAAATATCTCACGAATGCGACATAAATGTTGCGAACTTATGCAGTGTAAATTATCGGTGGAATTGTTAGGTTGGAGTACCGTTTATCGTGCACGTGGATGAGCTACACGTTATTTTAAATATGTCGTAAAACTTATTTCTTCCAATGATAGAGATACTACGTTACTTCGTTTTTGAGCTCGAGAATACATTTATTAATTTAATGACTTATATGTTTATTTATGCGACTTATGTTATATATTATGTTTATTTACTCAATATATTGACTTTCACGTTATCCATGTCTGGTAACACAAGTTTCTGCGAAAGTTCTGTCACCCATTGTGTTTTAGTTATAAATTAAGAATAATTTTTAATCATTTACTAAATATTTAAGTTATTAAAGAAACAATATAAATTATAATAACGTAATGTACTTCATTGTCTTAAGACATTAAAAAAACAATAGTACTTAATGTAATAAATAATGTAATAAAAACAATAGTACTTAATGTAATAAATAACAATATATTAAACTCAATATACCCTGAAATCAGCTTGATAGTCAATGTAATGATAATTTGCTTAAATATTTAAAATAATACCTTCGCATGAAAGAGAAGTAGAACGTTCGTTTGATTCAATTTGTCGAATTTAAATATTCCTTATTTTTAAACAGGATGTTGCGAACAAGTTCAAACTCGCAATAACAAAATATATATATTCGTTAAAACACGTCCAAGTTAAAATTATTACTGTATTATTGATTTTCACAGCTTCAAGGACATTGCATATAACGCGAACGAATTATTTTCTTTTCTAGAAATTTAATATACTTGACTTTTAGTTAAATTTATTGTAATATAAATTGTTTATTTTATTTTTAATACATATTTTTAATACAATGTACATGTTATGAATTTAAAAAAATATATATAAGATAAAATATTGCTATTAAGTGGCATATAAACTTATCTTAAAAGTTTAAAAAGTTTAGAAAGTTCATAGAGAATGCGAATGTTGCGAGATTAGTCGAAGGAAGTCGTAAATCGCGGAAAAATATTAAAGAAATGTAGATACTCTCAATGAGAAAATCATCGATAGTTACATGAATTACTGCGACACGCAACATTAATTTACAATACGCGTTAGAACTACAATAAAGAAACGATTCATGGTACTGATTCTAATTCTATAGCAAACGTCAATTGAAATTCGTTAAATAAACACTCGTTAATAACTCCGTTTACACTTATTTTTTTAAAAACGTAAACTTAATCTCGATTTAATTTACTGTTTATCTAGTTTTAAATATTAGAAAAAAATAAAGAATGAATTAACCTGAGATTAAAATAAATTTACATTAGTAGAAATGAATATTAACAAATTAAATGACACAACGCAAAATATAGAAATTAGATTGCTGTTATTCGAGCATCGTCAGAAAGACAGAATTCTTTCAAGTAAATCATTTACGCAATGCAGCCGTTGCAACGATATTTTCGTGTGTATATCGAGCGAATGATCCGCAATCGGAATTTTTCTCATCTCCACGTGCATCACGCTGTCACAGTTCCCGGAAAGTTAAACAGTAAGTTTACGGGGACTTATTACAGTTCTTGAAACTAAATAACAATAGATCTATTCGAGTTTCTTGTACTTTTTGCATTCAGCATCTTCACAATCTCTTTCGAACTTCCGAATATATATATTTATTAAATTTCATGATTAATTTATTAAGACATTTTTTTACTTATCTATCAATTTTATAGGTAAAACTTTTGACTCGTAGCCCTTTTTTTATTAACTTTTTTAAATTATTGAGCCATTATACTATATATGATATAATATATATTTATCTCTCTCTCTCCTTATAAGGAAAAAGACTTTTGGAGATTTTAAGCAACGCAAACAGATTTAATATTACAAAAATGAGCAAATTTATTAGAATATTTATAACTTTACTTACTTTGGTCATCTAGTGAATTGCTTACTTTTGTAATTTTCACCTCGTCTCAATAAGAATCGTAATTAGTAAAGCTAGAAACACATAAAAAAATATAAGGCAATAAGATTTAAGCAATAAGCGAATCGGCAATCACAGTAGAGAACGTAAAGTAATTTTATAATTATCCGATTCGATTATTGTTTATGTTTTTATGTGTTTCTGGTTTAAATCTCCTGTTGCTTGTGCACTTTTTGCACTCAGCATCTTCGCTTTCTCCTTTCGATCTCAATGAGTCCGAATATAAGTGCAAAACTTCTGAAGGCTCCAAGTAACGGAAAACAAACATGAGTTATTCCATTTGATGCTCATAGCGCTCTTAGAATTAAGGCGAGTTTTTTTTTTTTAATTCATCGATTGATCAATCGCAATGTGCAAATGCAGCTTTTACAGAACAAAGTTGCATTTGCGTATAATTTTTGTATAATGCGAGTTGATGAATTAAAAAACTCGCTTTTACTTCGTTCTTCTTATCAAGTGTTAAATAAGGATAAGTAATGTTCTATGCGCTGTGAGCGCCAAATAGAACACAGTTATCACAATCATAGCGATACGCGGAGCGAGAAGGGAGAGGATTAGCAGCTGTGGGCCGCGAGAATCGCGATTTTCTGCGCGGCTCGCCTCGTTTCCGCGTTTTCTCCGCATGAGAGATCGATGATATCCCCACAGTGATTTGTGGACGACGAGAGAGAAGTATAGCTCCATCGCTCACGTCCGTATGGTATGACACGAATGCGTCGCGACGGACGGCGCGAAAGCGCCGTCGAACGGGAAGTCGCGGGATGACAAGCGTCGCGACTTATCGCATCGACACTATCGCGCGCGAAACGGAAAGAGGGAAAAAAACAAGAAGAAAAAAAGTGAAAAAGACGCGACCCAAATGAACGATCGATGACGGATCGTCAAATGGAGGGACGAAAGTATCCGTCGAAAGATGCACGTTACTCACCGTCGTTGATCGAGAAAAATGGGAATGAACGGAAGAACTGGATTACCACTGCGTGACGCAGCTTGACAGCTTCAGGCGACTTGGACGACTTATGCTCGGCCCATTCCAACCATTACAATCGTCGCTGGTCATCGCCTTCGCTCGTATAATACGTTCGCAACCGTGCCTTCGTGACCTCGTGGGATTGGCGCAAGGCTGGCCAATCGACGAGAACGGCGCGATATTTTCAAACCCGTGTTCGAAGACAGTAGATAAATTGTTATTTGGAAAATTTCGACCTAAGAAGGTCGACCTAGAGACATTTTTTCAATTTTTTTTTAAATGAAAACAAAATTTGAAGTGAAAGTTTTATTATTCTCTTTTTACAGTACGAAAAATAATCTATAATTATTATTATATGTACCTAGCAATGTGATTCATAATCTTGGCATTTTGAATTATTATGTAAAAAAATCGCAACCTTGTTGCGTGATGCAAAAAGAATGGCATTCTATTTTTTAATAGGAATTTGATTATTCTTTGCTTTATAGACTTTACAGCATAAAAGATAATTTATAAAACATAATTATGCGCATGATTATGCGTATGTTTTGCAAGTTGACGATGTAGCAAATTTTACAGCTATCGTGTTAAATAATTTGTATATGTATAGTAAAGAACAATTTCTTGAACTTGAAAGGATTAATTAATCTGAATTTTTTCGAAAGAATTAAAGTGTTGTTTTTTTATTTTGCATTTTTTAATTGTATGTTGTATTGCAAAAATAATATTATTTTATGCATGTCTTTTGATAATTATGAATATTGTGATTGATGATCAGATTGATTTATTTCTAATGAGATATTGTCCAAGATTTTTTATATAAGAACATATAAACATGTATAAACTTATATAACTTACATAAAAATATATATATAATTATAAAATACATGTGTCCATATATATTTCTTTATTTTGTAAAATTAATTAATAATTAATTAATA